GGCAATTGTCGTATGCGGCAACAAGGGATAGATGTGAAAAATTTACAGCAAAGATATTAAAGCACTGGAATGGATTGCTTAGAGCAGCTGAATGATGTTTGTCCTGGAGATACTCAAAACTTAACTGAATGAAGAATCAGAATGTCCTAATCTAACTTCAAAGTTGATCCTGCTGTGAGCAGGTAGAAAAATTACTCCTATTGGTCACTTCCTGCCTAAACTGTTGCTGTGATTTAACCCCAGCTGGCAACTAATTCTCAGACAGCCACTTGCTAACTCTTCCCCAGTCAGGTGGAAAAGAGAATTGGAAAAGTAAAAGTGAGAAAACTCATGGGTTATGATAGACATTTTAATAAGTAAAACAAAAGTTGCACATGCAAACTAGGCAAAACAAAGAATTCATTCACCACTTCCCGTGGGCAGGCAGGTGTTCAGCAGGAAAGCAAAACTCCCTCATGTAATGGACTTGGAAAGACAAACACCATCACTCCAAACATGCCCTCCTTCTTTTTCCCCCAGTTTTACATGTTGGGCATGATACCATATGGTTTGGGACATGCCTTCGGTCAGCTGGGGTCAACTGTCTTAGCTGTGTCTTTCCAACTTCTTGTGCACCCCAAGCCCACTTGTTGGCTGGCCATTGTGAGAAGCAGAAAAGATCTCAACTCTATGCAAGCACTGCTCAGCAATAACTAAAAAAATCTCTGGTTATCAACACTGTTTTTAGCACAAATCCAAAACACAGCCCCATACTAGCTACTGTGAAGAAAATTAAATCTACCCCAGTCAAAATCAGCACAACTATTTTGATTCACATTTGATAGTTGCATTCTAGAATTATTCCTATAATTAATTTCATAAGAAAAAGTACTTTTGGCTCTCAAGTTTCTGAATACAGAATGCATAATGTGAATGTACCATGTCAATGACAACACAATGTTTGTGTGAGTTGATGCATAGACTTCCACCAGTTACCTATAATAATGTTTTTAGCTTTAAAGCATTAATAAGATACTAATAGCTGTGTTTGCCAGAGTACATGGCTTCACTAAAGAAAGTCCGTAAAGAAAGCATGGGCATGGGTAATGAGTGAATTCTAAAAAAGTATACAAAAAACTCCCACAAAACCAAACCTACTGGGAACTAACTCCTGTTATATTTCAACCTTGTGAAACTGGAATGCATTACTTACAATAGTCAGAAACAGTATTGCTGGAGTAGGAATTTGAAGTCTCACTATGTGAATAAATAGAGCAGCTTTGACTGGTAGAGTGGCAATGAGGAATATTAAATGAACAAAATACATTTGGATCTACAGATAGCAATCCCTGTATGAAATTTGCTGCATCTCAAAGAACAAAAGACTCAGAAGTGCTTCTCCAGACTTACTGGCTTTCAGTCAATAATAAGATGATTTTTAAACAGAAGTGCAAAAACTCCAGTAAGGATATTGTTGATCTAAAAAGTGCTCCCCTATCAAATTTGACATAATTCATTCACTTGAATTATTTTCTGAAGACATAAGCACATTAGAAAATAAAATCTAAAAGTCAAACCTTTTATTGCATTCTTAGTGAGTTTGACTCAGTACAGTTTGCAACTTTAAAACCTCACTTCTGAACAAATCAAATATTTGCAAGGTTTAGTTCCGCTTGAAACTTACTCTACAAGTTGTGTACTGAGTCTGGCAGGGACAGTTAATTTTCTTTATAGCATCAAGTGTGGTGCTGCATTTTGGATTACTTACCAAAACAGTGCTGGTAACACACCAATATTTTAGCTGGTGCTGAACAGTGTTTATATAGAGTCAAAGCTATCTCTGCTTCTTGCACTTCCCAGCTAGTGAGGATGCTGTGGCTGCACAAGAAGCTGTGAGGGAACACTGCTGGATCCCAAATTCACATATCTGCAGAAAGGAATTTGAGCGGTCTCAGCAAAAGGCTTTGGACTACGAGAGCTGGGGAAAAAAAACTCAGTTTAAGAAGCACATGGGACATCACCAGTGTGGAGTGCCCTGTCCAAGCCAGAGAGACCATATCCTGATATTATCAAACATCTATCAAAGACCTATTGTGTTATATCTCTCCCTTTGTGTTACCTGAATCCTGTACATTCTGTAAACTTGAATACCTATTCCCCCCATGTAATTCCCCTAAGATAAAATGGGTTTTCCCCTATGATGTAAGTGTTAAGACCCCAAAATTTGTAAACCTGGGTTTTCGCCTTTTACCTCATCTCTGTAAAGCCCCCAGTTGTAATAAGCTGACCCTCCGATGAATATGCCAACCCCGCCATGAATGTGTAGTACCCCAGACCCATAAAAATACCATTTTTGTACGAATAGAGGATTCCAGTTTCTTGCCTCCCTGGGATCAACTTAGCTTTATTGACCTCCACAGAACACAGCCCACACACCTGACTCCAACTGACCCAATGGATATCCCATACCATATGGCATTGTGTCCAGTGGTAAAAACTCAGTCACAGAAGGAAGAAATGGGAACATTTGAGGTTACAGCATTTCTCTTCCCAAGTAACTGTTATGAATGATGAAGCCTCACTTTCCTGGAAATGGCTAAAAATCTGACTATTGATGGGAATAAGTGAATGAATTCCTTATTCTGCTTTGCTTACATGCACTGCTTTGCTTCACTTTTTTAACTGTCTTTAACTCAGGCCACAATTTTTCTTGCTTTTGACCTTACAATTCTCTCTCTTATGCCACCGGACAAAAGTAAATGAGTGGCTCTGTGGACCTTAGCTACTGGCCAGCGTTAATCGACAAGAAGTTAACACTGTATTGTGATTTACAGTAGGAGAAAATGAACTTGATATGAAGATATCACATAAAACTCCCTCAGTTAGGAGCAAAACAGAAATTGAGTATTGCATATATAGTATGAAATGTAATATATTTCACTATTGCACTTTCAGATAATTTGGAGCCCATCTCATGAATTTCAGTCAGTTGCTTAGCTCTGTGTATGTGTAAGAGGCATACATGCTTGCTGTTTTAAAAGTTTGTGGTTTGAAATTATTTGGGCTTTTTTTTTGTTTGCTTTGTTGTGCTTTTTTTTATTAGCATATCTGTATATCTATGTATATTTGATTTATCAATATCTTTGTACTGAAACATGGTAGGTATCATTTGAAATTCTGGTTGTATTTTTGCAAATCCTGTTTCCTACATGAATTATCAGATTGGGTAAATTAGTCCGATTATTTGTATCTTGCACTTTGGCATTATTGCTTATCCTTATGTCTTAAAAAATTTGTAAAGGAGACTTTAAAAGAAATGTTTGAGGGTGTTTTAGAAGATGGAATTCCACCCACCTTCTTTTTTGCCATCCTGCTGATACTTAATTCTGTGGAAGGAGTGAAAGCAGTTGAGGAAAGCACAGTACCATATGCCTCTTTAGAGCACACTTGAGTGACAGGCATGAACAGAAGGCGGATAAGAACAAAAGCTGAATTTTACAAATGACATCATCATAGTAGAACTGGCCAAAAAAAAAGCCACTGAAATATGAAGCATGTTTGTGATTTAGGACTGGAAGGGTGTAAATTTCAATCTGTGAGTTTTAAAACTTGTTGCAAGTCAGTTTGAGGTTGCTTGCCTGAAATGAATAGGAAAACAATATTTGAAGGCATCGCGACTTGAGCACTGGAAGACAGTTTTTGAAACCTATGCTTGTGAACCATAAATGAGATTACTGCTCTATGTCATGGCACATAAAATTTAATCCATGTTCATCTCTCTTCATTAATCTTTTTGCATATTTGAAAGTTATGTTATTAGAAGTTATTACACTTTTCTTTTGTGACTTAAAATATTTACATTGCCACTTGGTGGCCTCATTTGATCAGATAATAAAACGTAAAAATATAAGTTAAGGTCCTTTGTTTTTCACAGGTGTGCAATTCAAACCTTGATGTGTTATCTTCCTACACATCCAGGACAGTAGACCCCTTTTTGCAATTATGTGCCTGCCGTGGTAATTGTTGTGGTGATTCTCAAGAGCCTGAATTTCTGATGTTGGGGTGGTCAGATTTGAGAGCTCTTCAGTAAGGATAGAACTAAAGTGGATGTTTTTTCTCCCTGTTCTTCCTTGCTCATCCTTGATGTTTTAGTGTTCTTCACCCCTTCCCAATCAAAACAAGCAGAGGATATTTTCTTCTACCAATGGTTTAACTTCTTTCTTTTTTCTAGGACTAGAACTTGTTCTGATTTTGCCAGATTTCTTTCCTGCTTATTCTGCATCCTTAGTTCTTATTTTCTAGATTTTATTACTTGGTGATGTTTTTCTGTATCCCTTTTGTGAAAATATACCCCAAGTGTCTGTCTCTTTTTGGTTCCATATATAATATATTCATATGATTAGTTGTGTTACAAAATGCTAGTTCGTTATTGCTGGGTTTGCTGCTTTAGTGTATTTATGTCTGGATTCAAGGCAAGCAAATACTGATTATATCATGCTTAATATACTCTTACTCACAGAAGTCTTCTGCCTTGGTAAGCCTCTTGTCAGTGATGGGATGGAAACTCAGTTCTCTGTGCCTTGCAAACTTGGGAAGAATGGCCTGGATGAGTGTACAGTGAGCTGGATTGAGAACTGACTGAATGGCAACCTCACAGGGTTGTGATCAGTGCCACAGCTGCAGGGATGAAGAGGTGGATGCCTCCTCAGTGAGTTTGCTGATGATACATAACTGGGAGGACCCATCCCCCCAAGTGCTCTGCAGCCCTTCAGAAGACCCTGACAGGCTGGAGGGAGTGGCAGAGCAGAACATTTTGAAATTTCACAAAGGGAAATGCAGGGTCTTGCACCTGGAGAGGAACAACCCCATGTAGCAGGACAGGCTGGGGGCTGACCTGCTGGAAAACAGCTCTGCAGAAAAGAACCTGGGGGTCCTGGTGGGCAACAAGCTGTCCATGAGCCAGCAGTGTGCCCTTGTGAGCAAGAAGGCCAATGGTGTTCCAAGGTGCATTAGGAAGAGCACTGCCAGCAGGTCAACGGAGGTGATCCTGCTCCTCTACTCAGCCCTAGTGGAGCCACATCTGTAGTGCTGTCTGCAGTTCTGGGCTCCTCAGGGCAAAAGAGACACGAAGCTCCTGGTAGAGGTCCAGCAGCAGGCTATGAAAATTATTAAGGGACAGGAGCATCTCTCTTATGAGGAAAGGCTGAGGGAGCTGGGCCTGTTCAGCCTTAGAAGAGAAAACTAAGAGGGGACCTCACTGATGTCTATAAGTATCTGAAGGGAAGGTGTCAAGAGGATGGAGCCAGGCTCTTCCCAGTGGTGCCAAGCAACAAGAGGCAATGGGCAGAAACTAATGCACAAGTTCCACCTGAACATGAAGAAGAACTTCTTTATTGTGAGACTGACTGAGCATTGAAACAGATTCCCCAGAGATTGTGGAGTCTCCTTCCCTGGAGACATTCAGAAGCCACCTGGACACACTCCTGAGTAACATGCTCTAGGGGACCCTGCTTGAACAGAGAGGTTGGACTAGATGACCTCCAGTGGTCCCTTCCCACCTGAACCATACTGTGATTCTGTGATTCCAAACCCACAGTCTCAAGCTCTGCTGGCTCAAGGCTGAGTACTGCCTCAGAGCAGGAAGGTGGAGTGTCACCCTGATCCAGTCTTGTCTCATGATTTTCTTGCAAAATACAGTTCTTTTGCAGTTGTGTAGCTCCAGATAGCCCCAGGTCTTCCATCACACATTACAAGGTATACTGCAACCTGTAACAAAAAGACAACTACTTAATACACAGGTAATGATTTATGGTTAAAAGAACATGTAATTCTTGTAACAGTGATTGTCCTCTGAAAATACCATGGTAGATTCAATGTTTCTTCATCCTTTCCTGGTCTAAGTGGCTGTTGAGTCTCCAAAATACTATGTCTTCTCACTCCTTGCTGTCTATTAATTAATTTTTTTTAGCTGTTTGCTCTCTTTTCCATGATTCCTTAATGTTTTTGTCATAAAGATTTCAAATTAGCCCCAGGTTGGTGATGTTCTGGATATTATAATTCTGTTGGTATAGGTGAACATTACAAATGTCTATCCTAAATTATATAGCTAAGAAATCTTGCATACCTGTTTCTCTACACAGAACACAGTTTTCTGGCGATTTAGGTCCACACACAAGTAGCTACTGCTATCATAGGAGCAATACTCTGTTCCCATAGTGGGGGCTTCTCTGGACAGCATTCCTCTGTGACAGGACTCGGTGACTATGATCACATTTCTGAATCTGTTAATACACCATGAGTAGTGCCCCTTAGCTCCTGTGCAGTGACTGATACATATCTTCAGGCAATAGCAATGAAGATATTGCCTGAAGATATTGTGCATGTGCTGTTTTACAATCACCTCTATGCCTTCTTCTGTATAGCCTTCATTTCTTTTTGGCCTTCATTTCTTCTAAAATCACATCTCTATCCCATTTCAGTGGTTGAAACTTTGGCCATCCTACACTCTGACTGTCCTATAACTTGAGTGCTGGTGATTACTGCTTGCAGAATCTACTGTTATTGGTAGTTTAACAATGTTAGTAGCACTTTTGAGTTCCAATACTTTTCTTTCTATAAAACTAATATTTTTACTATTTCTACCCACTTTTTGATTCCCATATGACATTGTACAATCTCATTTAATAAAAATATCTTGTGTAAATAACATTCAAATATTTATTTGTACGTATTTTTATTTCATGGGGTTTGTATGTTGAATATAATATGCCCCAGTTTTGATCACTTACTACTCAAAGCTTTTAGAGAAGTGGTATCTAAAATTCCAGTTACAACTTCTACTCCCTTAAAATTATATCCAACCCTCTTGGTATGTTGGACTCAATCACATGGAATCCATTTCTGGGTCAATGTTACAAATAACCCTTTAATAAAAGCAGTATATCTGTTCAGTCTTAGAAAAGTCAAAGTAAAACTTTCTTCACAGCAATATGCACTCTATTACTTTGTTGCTACAAAGTAGTATTTGTATTTGTATACCCAAAATGGTACATTTTCTCTGGAAACTTTGGTTAACCGCACAAACAGTAAAACTCTGTGAACTAAATGTTTGACCTCTCCTTTTTGTTGTTTGTTTCGCTTTCTACTTCGCTTCTGATTTTAACACTTTGTTTAACCATCTCTGCTGTTCTCTGCTCATATATCAGTTGGTATGGTTGTCCAAGTTCCATCACAATTGCTGTACATTCTCTTGATTTTTAGCCAAGTAGTAGAAATAAAATATTCAAGGTTAATTTGTATGTGCTTCAAGCCCCCAGAGTACATTCCCTTAAAATCAGAGACTTTTGTTAAAATCATAAAATTATTTTTGGCACCATAGAACATAGATGCTGTTGTTTAGCCCTCATGTTTGTTTCCCACAATTTTAAAGCAGTGGAGACATGTATCTTACATTTTTATGGTCTGTGGTACAAAAGAGTTTTCCATTGCTACTGGAGGTAGGGTCTATTATCAACAAAAAGCAGGATGCTTACTACTTCCTTTTTATGCAAGCAAATATTCACAAATTTGAACCTAACATAATTATTAATAAATACATGAAAACTTCACTCAGACAAAGCCTAATAATTAATTTATGCTGCTTCTTTTAAAAGCCTTTCTGCTAGCAATAGTTCTGCTGTGACTTCCCTTACTGACTCTTAAATTGTAATAACATCTGTAACATAACATTCTTGCTTTTTGTTGACTTATTTACCTTTCCATAATTAAAATTGAAATGAACTATTTAGACATTTTTCCATTCATGAGTTTTTCTCCATATACATAAGGTCCTGCTTTGTTTATAATTGGATCTGGTCCATCCTATTTATAGTTTAGACTGTAAATTTGCGTGGAAAATATGGAACATTACTCTCCTTCCTCCTTGTCATTCGTCAGAGTACTGGTTTATTCTTGTTTGCGTATTCGTGCATTGAGCATTCCTTCCCATCTGAGTTGCTATAACATCATTAAACACTTTCCATGTGTTTAGATAGGGTCTGTATACATTCTTCAGTTAAAACATTAGGCAATCATTTTACTTCCAGGCATAGCTCAAAATCACATGAGCTTGTGAGAAGCTGTTGTGGCTCACAGGCCATTACAATGACAAGGTGATATCCCAAACTTTTCTGTAATTTTTCACCATTTGGCTTAGTGCTATTTTTGTAGTCCCGTCAGGTCATTCAATTTACCTTGAACTGCAAGTTTCAAACAATGTGGAGTTTTTCTTTCCTCGCAGGCTCCCACATAATTCCCTGATTATTTGCCCAGGAATAAATATTCCTTGTTTCAAATCAACCTATTGGTTTAAATCCCATCTGAAATATCCTATGTGGTATATTACATTGTGGTATATATATAATAAAATATGCACTGTGGTACACTTGGCTGTAGCTTTCTTTACTGGAACAAACTCAACCCACTTTTTTTAGAATTAGGAAACCATACTTACTCCCACTTTGTGTGGTAGGTGGGAATAAGATGGGACTACGCTAAATCTAGCGTAGTCTGTTTGTATGATAGCCTGTTGTCCTGGTTTTTGCTGGGAAAGAGTTTGCTTTTTTCTGAGTCCAGTACTGTGTTTTGAATTCTGTATGAGAATTATGAGATAAGACACTGATGTTTTGGTTGTTGCTAAGTAGTGCTTCCCTTAAGTCAAGGACTTTTCAGTGTCTCATGCTCTGCCAGTTATCTGCTGCACAAGAAGCTGAGGGCAGGGGGAGCACAGTCAGGACAGGTGACCTGAGCTGACCGAGGGAATATTTCATACTACAGGATGTCATGCCCAGTATATAAACTGGGAGGAGTTGGCTGGGAGGGGTTGATTGGAGCTCAGGGACTAGCTGAGCATCTGTCAGCGAGTGGTGAGCAATTATATTGCACATTACTTGTTTCTCTTGGGTTTTATGTCCCCCCATCTATATTATTATTATTATTATTATTATTATCATCATCATTGTCATTATTATTATTATTATTATTATCATTATTATCATTATATTTTACTTTGTTTCAATTACAAAACTCTTCTTACATTAAGCCATGAATTTTTACTTTTTTCCAATTCTCCTTCCCACCCCACTGGGCAGAGAGTGAGTGAGCGAGCAAATGGCTGTGGTACTTACTTGCCATCTGGGATTAAAACATGACACTTACGGTTCATGAATTCTGATGTTTCAATTTTCTCTTAGTGAGGGTATTCACCACAGCACAAACTAAGCTATTATATGCCCATCTGTTTTCACGTTTGGCCAACTACCTACCTTCTAATACTCCCTTTTGCATTCAAACACCCCGTAAATGATCTTGCTCGTGCACCTATTGAAACAAATCTACTGGAAGTGTACAGACTGCTCCTTACCTACAAGTGTTTGTTACCTGACCACAGTACACTCTCTATGCTTCTCCTCTCTACTAGCTTCTATAGTAATCACCCCTCAATGTCCTCATTTTCATGTGGCAAATAGCTCGGTCTTTGATACCTTGCTTTGTATCATTTTCTTTGGTTTGTTTTCAAACTGTGTGTTTCTTCAAATGTTAAGTCTACTGGGGCCACCACAGTCTTTACAAGGGTATGTGCTTGACTATTCCAATACTGCTGCCTCTTTATGTTCCTTTTGGTATGCTTTTACATGACCTGCATTTTTTTTTCCTCTCTTCTTTTTTTAACCTATGTACAGGATTTCCTTTCTATGATTGATAGGCTATCAGATCTCCATTCTGTGTTTGAAGGTAATTTTTATTCTACTTTGGTAGCCAAATAGTTAAAGCTTGATGCATCCGGTCTGAAACTATGTACAAAGCTAGATCATTTCCTTCGGGTTCCTCTTTTAACCTCATTAGCAGAGCTTGTGGCTCTGCTGCTTGTGCAGAGCGAAGGCAGACGGCTCTTTTTATTTTTCCCAGGAGTTGCAGCATATCTAATAGAGGATTTTCCACACTTTTGAAAAGAACTGGAGCCATTTGTGAACCACACTGAATAACCTGTGGCACGAAGTCGATAGCAGAGCTTTTATCCAGTGAGAGACACATAAACAGGTAAAGTGCATTTATGTTCTGTTCCAGTGGTTAAAAGGCATACAGAGCTAGTGATAAATCTTTTTATATTCTACATAAAGCTTTTATTTTATAAAAGCCATTGTCCAGCTAGCCTAGGGTTTGATACATATCCAGTTTGTACTTTTCCACTGATTATGACATTATGAACTTCAGTGGAGTACGTGTGATATATACTTTAGTGAAGCATGTGTGATATGTATTACTGCAAAACAGCCTCTAGTGATGTATTCCTGAAGCTAATTGCCTATGCCAATGCTTAACCTGTTTTTTAGTATGTAATAGAGTTCTTTCCCACAGGTCTTAAGACTCTCAAAGCAAAGGCTGTAACTTTCATCTTATTTCTGTGTTCTTAGCACAGTTAGATCAGTAGTGGCCAGCTGAACATGAAACAGTTTACAATAGTCTGAGCATCTAAAGGCCAGTGTTTGAAGTAGTGCATTTTTGCTTCTTTTTTTCTTTCCATTCTTGCTGGTGAAATTCCTTCGCTAATTTGATTAGTGGTGTACTGATTTCTGCAAATGTAATTCTCATGAAAATGTAAGCAATTCCAAAATTGAATCTCATACAACTATTACTTGCATGGACTCTCGTAGTCAGTTCTACTCATTGCTGATCCCATTCCTTCCTGACCTAAAACTATTACTGAATATTTCAGTTCAGATTGTACCAACTGAATCTTGTCATGATTAACTTTAAAGCCTGTGTTGAAAGTAATGATGATTACTTCCTGAATATATTCCCGAACTTTCAATTCATTTTTAACATGTACCAACTCATCATTCATGTATGGTATGACATAACACATTTTGATGGTAATTTCATCCACATGTGATACATTTGATCTGAAAGTCTTGAGGTACATGTATAAAACAATATTGCTTTCTCTCACAGTTAAATGTTTGTTGTTACCAGCTTTGCTATCTTAGTGGAATTTTAAAGAAAGCATTGGCTAAACCAATAGCAAAAAAATCAGTGAAATATTCTGCTTAGTGCTACATGAATTTCAGGCATGTTTCCACTACAAACAGCCTGAGAGGTGGCTACCTTACGTAAGTGTTAAAATCCCACTTTTAGGATTTTTCCTTAGCTTTTAACACTGGACAAATAGGATGTTAAAAGGATAAGTTTCTGTACTAAGAACTTGCTTTCCAATAAACTTGTTGGTGGATTGGAGTCCTTCCTCTGTTTCTGGGTATCCAGGTGTTGATATTGTTTTTTGGGAAGGAGGATCTGGACCTTCCAATCACAACTTCTATTTTTTTACATTTTAGCTTACAGACACACAAAACTTGAGGAAATTCTGTTACCCAAATATCCACTGTTTTTACTTCCTCCGGATTCTTAATAACAAAGCATCAATGACTTGCAGGAATCACTCCACCCTCACCTCCCACTGGTCAGGCCCAATTCCACAAACATCCGTAGCAAAATCTGAATCTATTCCATTTTGTTTCAGCAAGACTATGCCAATAATTCCCTGGTGTTTATATGAGGGGTCCTCCCACTACTATACTCAGAAGGAACTCCTGAACTTGGCAGCTTTTTAACTGCAGGCAGAGATCTTAATACAGGTACTTAAACATCCTTTCCTGCATATAATACAAATTTTATCATTTTTCCATTTTCTTGAGTTCCAGATGGAACAAATATTCATTGAAGAGTGGTTATTGACTTTATAGTATCAATTAACATCATGGCACTAGTGGTAGTTAACGTTCTTTTCTTGACCATCTAGTACTAATATTGTTATTGGCCATTTGCATTGATTATATTGTAATTTCACCATTAGACCAGGGACAACTAGACAGCAGAGCGTTCCTAGTCTTTGTTATTGAGAGGAAGAGGTGATGCCAGAGGGCTTCACCGAAAGGGATCTGTTATTTTCTGTTGTTTTCATTCCTTCTCATGATTTTTCATTTCCTTAACAAAATGAGCCAGTGAAGAATTTATGTATTCTGTCCCATTTTCTCATATCTTTGCCTCTTTTCCTCAGATTTTACCATGTTGCTTTCCTGCAGTCCCATTGGTGTCCCCTAAAGGAAGTTTTTATCATTTTCTCCAAGGATCTTTTGCAGTCAGCATTTTGCAGTTACCATTTACCCCTATTTACACAAAGAGCTATACTCACAGTGAGGACTATTTTCCCTTTTCTGTTCCCTTTGATTTTTATTTTGAAATGGAGGCTTTGGGTCTTTTATAACCATGTTTCTGAAAATTACAATATGTGCAGACCTTTTGTCAGATCCACAGGACTGAGATTTCCTTGCATTCCTTCTTACCTTCATTACCTTATCCATTGTCCTTGTCCATACTTGTTGAAGCTGAATTTGCAGCTCTTCTCATTGTATTTCTCCTTGATTCACAGGCCCCTGAGTTACTCTTGCTGACTTAACTCTTGTACCACTGTTCCTTGAAAGTCACTGTGGTTCTATTTAATCAGATACATTCTCAGATGCCAATCCCAACAGTTTTCCCAGGTTTTGTATGACTTTACAATCTCATAGTGTTCTAGATGGATTTCCTGCTAGCCAAATCTCCTTTCATTGCTTAGATAACTGTTCTGAGACATCTACCTATTAAATTTCTTACAGGAGATTCTTCTTGCGGTGTAACTGATAATCATACTCCATTTTGAGGCTGTGTAATTTTTACCAGTTAAGGAAAGCTAATCCTTTAGGCCCAAAAGTCCCATTTTACGAGTTTCTGAATTTAGTGGCCTATAGTTTTAAGCCTGTCCTCTTACTTGCTCCACAGTCAGGTCAGGTCTGAGTTTCCCATATATCCCAGTTTTATCCTGAATAGAAAAATGGTAACATATTCGCTATGCATAGTTGGCAGTTGTGTCCTGGCTGACTGCTATTGAAGTAAAGGGGCTTTTTGAGTCTGCAGAAGTTAATCTGTACAGTATAGCTTTCAGGGTCTGTCTTCAAGTTAGTACATGGTTCACTGCAAAAACCATAAGGTAAATGTAGCAATCAGAAACTGAGGATCTACTTTTAAATGCCATCACACTAGTATTATACACCCAGATCAAAAAAGAGACAAAAACCTGACTGTTTTTATTATCAGCTAGATCAAAATTGATGCACAACAGAGGGTTTTGGAAACATTTGCCATTATTTCTACTCATATTTTGCTGATATAGAAGATATACATATATATTTCTCCTTTTCTGTTGTTCACCCCTCTCTTTTTCTACATATTTGTATAAATATATGTGAAGAAAAAGGGGGTTTTCATAGGTGAGCAGTGTCATTATTCTTTTCCTCTATTTCCTATCATGGTTTAACACTAATGTATGTATGAGTCATCTGATATGGCATGACAATCATCTGTGTCCATGGGATCCGTTGTGAGGAGATCAGTTTACTAAGCTTGCCATTATTAGAATAGCCACTGCTATGAGTATTGTGGTAGCAAACAAGATGTTTTGATCACTACCGTCGTGGTGGAATATCAAAAGGAAGAGGATAATAACTTCTACCTATTCTTGGGGTTTCAATGTTTGTGGGGAACATCTTACTATGAAATCTTGAGTTAAGCATTATTCTGCCTGCCTGACTTCACCCTTTTGTGAAAAAGAGGAAATGTCAGTGCTGGTGACAGATTTACTGGAACAAGGTGAACTCTGTAACAAATAGTGTGATAACCCAATCTAACCCCCAGTATGAAAAGACCATACATGCACTCATGATGATATAGACTTACCTTCATTTTTAGGACTTAGGGAAGCATGTACACATGCTTTCCCTGAGAGACCTACCATGCTTAAGTAGTTCAGTTTACTTGAAATACAAATATACGTGGAAATCGATTAGGAAAGTAGGTGGTAATTCTGTTCTGTGAAACAATCCACCAGTATTCCAAAAAGGGTTTTGTCACATACATATTTGGAACAAAATGAAGAACTGTATTTCAATATCTTTTGTTCTTGTAAACACACAATTTCTTGTACACATTAGATTATCCAATTAGTGTGTGAGAAATTCTTCTGGTCCTGTCACATAGTAATCTTTGTGACATAAGCATCATAAGCATGCTTACATGACACATAAGCATCTTTCTGAAATATTGCCAAGATGTTCCATAAATAACCTAGGCAGATACGTTCTCCTTCCTCATGTGCACCATACCATGGAATCAGTTTGGTTATAGGACTTGGCCTGATTCTAACCACACCTGCTTAAAACTTCCAACTAAATGGACACTTTCATCAACTTTTGCCAGCCTTGCGTGGTCACTGCAGAAATCATCTGTCTTCTTTAGCATGTGGGAAAATTTAGCAAAATATCTGTCCTCAGATACCATGGAAAATGCTATAATGTCTTCTTCAAATGGCCCATGACATGGAATCACTGCCAGGTCATTTCCTCTATTGCTTAGATAGAAGGCTTTGTTTGCATGCCCCAAGCCCGATAGACACTCACCAGAGGTAGTTTAAAACATTTTCTAAATTCAGTTCTGCTTCACAGTACTGACTATACAAGGAACAGCTGAGGATGCTCCCATCAAGGAATCCCTGTAGCATTTAGTAAGCATACCTTGCCCACAGGAGGTGTCTCTGGATCCTTAGGATGTTTGCCTTAGTTCTCTAATTTCTACTGGAACAGCATTCCTAGTGTGCCAGGTGCAGACACAGAATACAAGAAATATAGGCATTTTCCTACAGTAGTTGGTATCTCAGTTTGACTAGGTGCTCAGATGAGCGGCTGAGAGTTGCTACCTTGAACATTTTCCATATTAACAAAATCATTTGCTTTCAATGAAAGGTGACATGGAAAACAGGACTGCTCTGAACACTTCATTCAGTCAGGGTGAGCTGTTAATCATTCATTATTTATTGCTGACTATAAAAGGAAATTGAGGAATTACATTGACTGCCACGACCCTTATGCAGGGTCACGTGTCATTGCGTGCAAGCAGAATGTAAACTGTGCAGAGGTGCTGACTCAGGGTTGAGTCAGAAAGGAGAAGTCTAGAGTGCAAAGGTGAGGAAGTCGCAATACAAGCCTTCACTTTGTTCTTTCAGTTATCATTGGGTGATACTGGAGCACTCTCTGAAACCTTGTTGTTCAAGGTCTCCATGAATATTGACTTTTTGTGGAGCCACCCCCAGTCCTTCTGGCTCTGACCTACAGCCTTCATCTCCCATTCTGTCTGAGAAGTAGACAAGAAATCATGTTGTGATTTCACAGTCTACACAGGAAAGGGAGGAACATTGAGCAAGACCCCTGTGGTTTGCTGATTAGTTTGTATTGGTTCTTTCTGCTGTTTCTTGGGCAGAAAGGTCTCTGTTTACTAATATTACTCATATTACTCATATTTGTCTATGATTAGCACTTATACTGATCACATTGCTGATTAGTATGTCACTTTTTCACAAAGCTTATGCTTAGAAATGAGTAAGAAACAAATAAGAAAAAAAGGTGAAATTTGGATTTGCAAGGCCAAAGTCTAATAAATTCAAGTTTCAGTGGGAAATATATGGAAGAAGGTTGTTTTTGCCTTGACATGAATAATATCTGGAGGTCTTATCCCGATAAACCTTGCTGGAATCAATAAATCTTGTTGGAATCAAAATATATTATAGTGATCTTATGATGTACCAGCTTGTCACAACTGAAGTGAGTTTTTCAATTCTCTCTGCCACCAGCTTCAGCTGTTGACAGTCCCTGGACTAGAGATAGCTTAGAACTGCAAGCAAACCAGGATCTTGTACCTGGAAGTGTTAGGAGAGATAAGGAGCTTGGATTAACCATTGGGTACGACTTTAGGAAATAAATTTGTGGAAATTAAGATTAAAGACTCCTGATGGAAAGAGGGAAATTGGGGGTTAAGAGAAGCTGCAGATAGATAATGAGACATCAGAGCATCTAGTCTGAGTCAATAGAATGACTACAGGTGATTGCCTTCTCAGTAACCTCAGTAACTGTAGCCATAATGCAGCTGGCCACAACATAGTGAAATCTGATGGTCTGGTTGCTGAAGTCCTGCATGGTGGGAGATTTATTTCCTCCAATCTCTTTAGAACCGTTTCTTGCAAAATGATCACATGAAGCAGAACTTGATATCATAACTGAAATCTTCCTGTTGGATCTCCCTGGATTGTTGTCAGAGATGCACTGGTGTGATATGTGAGGCAGACAGAGCTTTGGCATGTGACAGCATGTTTCAGGAAGCAGAAGTGATCGATATGAAGAAGCGTTACCCCTACTGTCTATGGTTATGGCTGTTTAAAAGGTTTGGAGCTTGTGAACACGTCTTGACTGTATACAATTGCCTGTAGAAACAAAATTGCCTTAGAGTGTACAATTATTTGTTTTATGGTAAACAGCAAAAAGGAACAGAGCAATTTGACTCTGATTAAAGACTAACATGCAGAACATGGTCATAGTGCCATAATCGATGACTTACGAGATTAACTGAATGATTATTTTAGTCATTTCACTATTGTAACAAAATTCAATATATAGATAAAATAAAATATGTAAGTATACTTCCATATTGCTACAGGACAAGAAAGTCAAATTACTTACAGAAACTTAAAATATTTCCCTATTTTTTAAATAAACAACAGATTGAGGCTACTTTCCACAAAAAAAAAAAGGAACCTGTGAAACAGTTTGGGTCCAGAGGATAGTAATGGCAAAGATCAATGGCACCAACTCTATCTAGAAGGTTATAGGAACTAGGTTTTGTGTTTGGTTTTAGATTTGGGGTTTTGGTGGGTTTTTGTTTGGTTGGTTGGTTTTTGGGGTTTTTTTTGTTTTTGTCTAGAGAAGACAGACAACATTTGTGAAAGCAACATTAAAATTTTGAAAGCTGTGAATAGGAAAGGAGTAACAGGTCTAACCTGTGTCAAGGACAATTCATGTTAGACATCAGAAAAACTTCCTAGTGTTTCAGATAGTCTAAACGTCTCCATCGTTGTTTTTAGAAACTACCAATGGAGAGACAGAACTTAAACACCTGTCAAGAACGGCATATGTAACAATTGATCTGATCTGGAGGAAGGAGGATGGCCAGGATGGCGTTTTGACATTATATGTCATCCACATATAATGAGGTTTAATTGTAGAATAGCAAAAGAAACAAAAAATTGGAATTCCATATTACTAGGCAGAAGCTGAACGACAGGTTTTTAACTCTCATAATTTCCTGTGTAATCTAGACATTTCACAAATTGTATGGAATAGAATGTGAGTATTCATAAAATGTGACTTTAAATAGTATTGTACAAGGAAATAAGTCAATATTACTAGATTCAATTTCTCTACAGGTATAATGTTGATGCTGTTATATATTTCATATATAGTGACTTGAGTTTGTAAACTCCTTTCCTTCTTCCTCAGGACTTCAGCTGTCTGTGATCCAAGACACAGTTGTGTCACCATCTCTCAGACTTGTGAGGAAATTGCTAAATTCTGAGCAAGAACTACAAAGAAATTGATAAAGGGGACTTCTGCAAGGTAAGAAAGGTAAAATGGCAGACAGAGGTAATAGTCTTGAGATGAAGTTAAGCAACTGTTTAAGGATTCAAGAGGAAAACATCATCATGAAAAGGGAAAAGCAGCAATTTGGAAGACAGCAATTAAGTCACAATGAGAATCTGTTCCAGAGGCAGTAGAAACCAGTTCTACCCCACCTCACTGGGGACTTCTTGGCCAGCAAAGACTTTTCCTGTTTCTTAATCAGAGCACTGAGCATACCAACAGTCAGTTTAATATTTCATTAATTCAAGTTATCAACAAATGGCTGTGTATGGTAACTAATCAGTAACTGCTGAATACTTTTAAGTTGTGTGTATTCAGCTTACAAAGGGCTCTTTGTGCACAGCAAAAGGTGTCTGTCCAATCAAAGAGACTCGATGAGGGAAGGATTACTTGTACTGTTACAATATTACGAGGTATATCATTGCTGAGAAAAGTTAACAGGAAAAAAATTGAGTGTGTCTGTAATAATATACGTTTTATTCAGCTTCAATTGGAAAAAATGTTTTCCACCTGCACAAGAAGTAATTTTATATTTTTCCTGCAATTTTTCATTTGTGATATGAAGTCCTGANGTGAGGAAATTGCTAAATTCTGAGCAAGAACTACAAAGAAATTGATAAAGGGGACTTCTGCAAGGTAAGAAAGGTAAAATGGCAGACAGAGGTAATAGTCTTGAGATGAAGTTAAGCAACTGTTTAAGGATTCAAGAGGAAAACATCATCATGAAAAGGGAAAAGCAGCAATTTGGAAGACAGCAATTAAGTCACAATGAGAATCTGTTCCAGAGGCAGTAGAAACCAGTTCTACCCCACCTCACTGGGGACTTCTTGGCCAGCAAAGACTTTTCCTGTTTCTTAATCAGAGCACTGAGCATACCAACAGTCAGTTTAATATTTCATTAATTCAAGTTATCAACAAATGGTTGTGTATGGTAACTAATCAGTAACTGCTGAATACTTTTAAGTTGTGTGTATTCAGCTTACAAAGGGCTCTTTGTGCACAGCAAAAGGTGTCTGTCCAATCAAAGAGACTCGATGAGGGAAGGATTACTTGTACTGTTACAATATTACGAGGTATATCATTGCTGAGAAAAGTTAACAGGAAAAAAATTGAGTGTGTCTGTAATAATATACGTTTTATTCAGCTTCAATTGGAAAAAATGTTTTCCACCTGCACAAGAAGTAATTTTATATTTTTCCTGCAATTTTTCATTTGTGATATGAAGTCCTGAGCATTTTTAAATCCCAAATGTTCCATACTATATTTCTTTAAATGTATTCTTCTGTTATAACTGTAGGAAGAATATAATTTTAAATGCAACTATACTGCAAGTAATGATTATGAAAAATATTATATCCTCACACATTAGTGCATGATTGAGTCATATTGAATAACTCTGGTGATAAATAAACACCAAGAAAGTTGTTTCCCATATACAGAAAATATTGCTCAAAAGGAGGTGTAGATCTGTTGGATCTTCTGTTGTTTAATAAGCCAAAAAACTTTGAAGCTTTCAGAAATGAGACTGAGTTTGTGAAGCTGAAAACTGACACATTAGTAATAGGAAGCTAGTGACATTAGTTTATGGCAGTCCTCCTTAAGAGAATAAATAATTAACTTCAAATCAAATTACCAGACAACAGAAGTGGAGTTTTGTAATTTTAGAACTTGCTTTTCAGAGTAAACTTTCTTTTTAAACACAAATAGAAGTTTGATGCTTACAACAACTTGATTTGTCCTCATGCTTAGTCTGAGACAAGTAAAATGTCCACCGATTCCAACAGGCATTCTCTCATGGCTGAGCAAACAACACAGTTCAAGGAACACGCAATTCTCATTTTCTGACAGTATGATTATTTTTGTCACAAATGACAAGTCTTGTTGACAGAATGGTAGCCAAGTTGGCAAAATTCCTGTACAATGTACTATTCTTTTCCAACATTGATTAACAGGAAAGAGGCTGCTAAAATGGAACAGGAGTTCCCCGAGTACTATAAATCAGAGCTTCTTCACAGTTATTCTGATCTATGCTAGGATTGAAAGTTGTTTGAGGAATCATTGCAGAATTCCTGGGACCCACTCCACAATTTTGTCTCTGCTATCAAAGTCAGATTAAAGTTTCTGTGTTGGTTGTTTATTCTGATATCATGTCCCAATTAGCCATCCCCTTTGCGGGCCTGCATCAGATAAAAAAAATACGTGGAACCAATGTGTGATTTGTGGGATGAGATCCTCTCAACACAAATTATTTCTGGAAGCATAAGCAGTTGAAACTTCACCACAAAACATGACAGCCCTAGTTTTGAAATGCCTTTTCTACTGCTCCAGAAGTTTGTTCATCAAATGTTGAGACATTTTGACCTATGAGAGAGGGTTGGATAAATAAATCTAGATAATTAAATACTTGGAAACAGTATGGAATAATTAATAGTGAGTTACAGTATAGGATGATCTGTGTTACCTAACTTAACTGCAATCCAAAAATTAGGTTATAATCATGCAAAATACAATTTAAACACTATTGTGAATAACAGAGCTATACTGAAAAGACTGGTGAGTGGTCTGTAAGAGCAATGACTTAGAGAAGGATTTAAGGTTTGTCATAGTTTATTGTACCTGTACAATCTGTCATTGTACTAGAGTGCCCGAGAGAGATTATTCAAACCATGCATTTATATCAAGTAGCAGAAGGGAATTAATTGTACCTCAGTTTAGCATTGCAGTGTTGACAGACTATTTCAAAGGATTGATGGTCATCCTTCAAACATACAAGAAGTTCTTATGCTCAAAATTCTAAAAATTTGAGTGAATATAATGCAAGAACAGTAAAACTATGTCAGCCAAAGGGAAATTGACTACTATCTTAATAAAGAGAGGGTTGAGTAAACCTTCTGAATATGTATANTTGACTACTATCTTAATAAAGAGAGGGTTGAGTAAACCTTCTGAATATGTATAGGTATTTTCAAATAGAAAATATATCTGACAATGCAGGTCCTCATAGAAATAATAATATCCAAGAGGTATTGTTCTCTCTTCAAATAGCAATATCCGTGAAGGGAAATGCAGCAAAAAACAGTTAGCCAATAGGTGCAAAAAACTTGTGACCTATTGTAATTTTTAAAGTACAACTAAATATTTTCCTCAAGTATAGGCTTTACTTTAGACAAGGTCAGCTTTCCTGACCCATTGAGTCACTTGGCAGAACTGTCAACTGCCTGAAATCCCCTAAGACATTTACCACATAACTCAATAGAGGTAGCTCTTTGAGCTGCAGTTGTCATTTGCCTCATAGAATCCCACTGGTCCACTGTTGGATAGGGCTGAGATGGACGTGTATGGAGGTGCATAAACATTTTCAGCCATTTTTTATTTGCTTGTACAAGGGATGTGAATTGTCCAACAGTTCCCATTTCACCAGATTCTGCTTCTTCTAATCATTGAATAACAAACTGCTTTGGGAAGGAATTTTGAATTGTTTATGAGCCTTAAATAGCTCAAAGGTCATAGATTGGTCATCTCTGTTTAAATCTATCTTCTGTGTGAAATGTTGTGACTAGTAAGTAGAAGGAGAAAAAAGAAAGGTTTTCTTTCTTCTGGACTTTTGAATGATCAGGACGCTCTGCTTTCAAGACATATTTACTTAGCATCAAGTTCGTGTCCACTCGATACAGACAGTGTCTATAGGAGATTTCATGCCTCAGCTCTTCAGTCTACAGAACTAAAAAATCTCCCTTGATGACATCAAGGCTTGGTTAAAGCTGAGGGTAAGCTGTTGATTTAACCAAATAACTGATCTGAGGGAAGACAGCATTTTTCAAACATTGGGATTATGAATCCTGCTAATGTATTTAGGGCAAAACTGGTCGCCAGACTTTGGATGAGACACCATTTCTCCTCAGAATAGACTGACTGCCACCTACATTGTTCCTGGATGTTTCTGTACATCTTTGGTTGTGGATCACCTGCTTTATTCACCTACATGTTTTTTTATACTCAAGTGCAGGTAATGTGTAGTGGCGATGCCTCGGATTCTTCTGTTGTTGTTTTATGATGCAAATTTAATCTCTTCAGACTGAAATTATATAGTCAAACCCAAATTATAAATTTTAACGTGGACGTATCTGAATGATTTATAGCCAACTTCAAGATATAAGAGATTAGAAGAAGGATTTAGTGATCTTCTCTGATTTCAAATTCTGTGCAATTCTGAAGCTGAGTGAACAGTCAAAGTATACAAGCTATAGAGAAATCACAAAATTTTGTATCCTCCTAAGTAGGTGTAAAATATGTTCCCAATTTTCTCACCTTTTTAGTATCAGTTTAGTTGCTTCAGCTCATAGTGTGATAAAACCAGGTGTCTTTCATATTCTTTGCTTTACTGTATGCAGGCAGTAGAAACTCTGGTAAAAATTAAATTGCTCTTCTACTATATTTCTATTTCCCTTTCTTATCATGATTGCACTGCCATAGCATCATGACATTCCAATGTGATAACAAAATGTTGTGAAAGATCTTTTAGTTTTGACCATTCTCCCTTTAATGTGAAATAGTTGTGAAAGTCCTGCAAATAATATTTCATTTTTTTAATCAATTAATTTTCTTTAAAATTTCTCATTTGACTTTATTCAATTTCCCCTGAAATAGTTGGACCAGTTCGTTAGGATTAAGTGTAGGAAAGCATTTAGGCACCCAGGTTAAAACCTATCAACTGCTGTGGATAGACCTCCATACACATATTTCAGAATGACTTTTCATAAACAGATAATACTTATACTTACTAATCCTTTATATTTTGCTTGACTGATAAAGCTAAACTACTCTTTCTAAACCATTTCTCAATCTGATAAGACTATTTGTATTCCAAAACATTATAAAAATACTGTTTACCAAAATTTTGAGATTACAGGCATACATGAAAAAAAGGAACAAAAATCATTTCTTCTGTGTAATGATCAGATTAAGTAAGTTTTGTGTAAGTAACGTGATCGGACACCTACAGAGAAATTAATATAAATCTACTTGTCTTCTAGGACAAGTATTTTTATTTAACTTTTCACAAATTTTACTTCTGTAAAAGTGTTGAAAAATGTCTAGTTCAATACATATACTGATATAAGGTTAAGAAGTGAAATTCATTTATTTGAAATGTTTTAAATATTTATTATTTTCATCAAAATAATGCCTACAGATACTGATAAAGCCATTACATTCCACAATGTCCATTAATAATCGTCCAAGTGCACTACTAATAAGTGGTCCATTTCAAACAGTCTAGAATCTGAACATACATTCAAAAATCAAAAAGATGCTAATTGAGAAGATTTCTGCTGACCAGAGCTATTTCCAAACCATTTTTAAACTGAGTCTGAAACTCATCTTGCTGTTCTGCAGTTACTCAAATGAGAAATTATATGCACTCCAGTAAAATCCCATTTTCTTTCATGCTAGATGGGTCGTGTTTTCCTGGATTAGACTTAGAAGATTGGAAAAGAAGCAAAAGAGTAAAACAATCCTTTGGTGTTATTTGGTTTCTTTGTCACTGTGTATTCAAGAATGGACTCATCCTTAAGTGGAACAGTTACTTGGAGCATTCAGCAACACCTCTAATAAGGTAAAGAGGAATTCCTCTGAATTTAAGGGGCATAGTTAAGCCAACAGTAGATCCAGGGAACTTTTTTTGATGGAAGAATAGAGTATTCAGGGTTGTTTTCCCAGGTGACAGTGAAATAAGTGTGTGTTTAAGGAGTAGTATTATTCCCTTTAGGAAAAGGGAGGTACAGTCCAAAGTGCATACATTTTACTCACCAATATAGGGAAGGCAATTGGAGTGGGAAAAAAAATGAGAGAAATCTATTTGTTATCTCTGTCTTACGTAACAAGAGCAAAGTCCAATCATGCAGTGTGTCCTGAACCATCTTAATTCTGCTCATGTTTGAGTAGTTTTTCAGAGGACTGGACACAAACTCAGAACAACCTTCCCGGTATGTCAGTAGTTTGGGACTTCTTTTAAATCAGAGATATTTTACAAATTCACTGATGTCTAAAATTGGGAAAAATCCAATTAACTGGATAAAAATTAGTTATTTTAAATAAACATTTACTTTCTCCTTTATTTTGTATATCTTTGCTGAATTGCAGAAAATATTATGCTTGTATCATTCAAATGAAATTAAATGAACGAGGTACTGTTATAAAATGAATACAAATCCAAAATGTTTGTCAGGAAACACCAAACTTCTGGGCTGTTCTCAACATGCTTATACTTGTTCATTATGAGGATTCACTTGCAATGTATGATATTAATAACTTTACTGATTTCAATAAGTATCTATATTTTTCTTTCAAACAAATCGTTGTTGAGATAATTCGAAAAACATTTATGTTTTTGAGATTACTAAAAAAAATTAAAACATTTGCTTAAGATTGTATATTTCTCAGTCAAATATTA